GTCTATTTAGTTTTTTTTGATGTCTACTTAGTTTTTTTTAAACCCCTCTCCCTGAAACGAAGGGCTAGGACTTAGACAAATGCACTTCTTGAGTTCTTCCAGCAACCTCGACTTTTCAGGACTCTTGGCGGCTTTGCCTCACTTCATCAGCAATGCAACGGAGGCCAGCGTGCCAGTGATCAACAGCCGCAGAAGGCATCGCATCACACCGGCCTCCATGTCCGGGCACTGAGCTTTTTGAGGATCATACCGGAGCGGACTGTTTGTTCAGACTCTAGGTAAAGTCGCGATGCTGTAGGTGCTAGCTGCTAGCTGGCTATCTCATCCTCATGCTTGTCCTGTCGATACCTGAATCTTCCCCAATCCAAAAGCCGGGTGAAAAAGGATCTCCTCCAGTTTAATCTGACAAGGAAGTAACCGACCTCCACGAGACCTTCGGAAGCTTTCGCGGCTCTTGTCATAGACAATCGAAGCCCCAAGTTCCAAAATAGGGGCCTTAATAATTAGAATAGGGTTTTGGGGGCTATTCTACTTAATTAGGAACCCCCCCGAAACCCTATTCTAATTTCTCAAGGCCCCCTACATTATGCTCTTAACATCTATATGGGTTATAACTATAGTTGCCCTACTTATAACTCCACTTCTAACTACCCATGAACCTCCAAGTTCTACATCGAGCTCTTTGTCGGGAGCTCGCCTCAGGCGGGCGCTTGGAAGCACACGGCTGCTCGCTGGCTGACCTGGCCATGACAAGGACGACGGGACTTTCCGCAAAGAAGGGGTACCTTATTTTGGGGTCCGAAAATAATATGGATCCTACTGTTTAGGGTACTATATTAGGGCCCCCCATTTTCGGAAACACCCCATATGGGTACACTGACTGTGCCTGAATTTTTTAGGCATAGGTGACGGCAGCAAAGTTGTTCTTTCCAATTTGGTTTTCTGGGTCCGGCGGTTCCAGGCACACGGGGGATGATTTTGAAGTGAAGAATGTTGTTGCTAAGATGCGGAGGATGGAGCTAAGCTCGGGCTGAGCTGGAGATGAAGTGGCTGTCCGGCATCACGCACCTCGGCCCGCTCGCAAAGCTGTCGGTCGGCTGCGGTTCAGTTTGCCTCCGTGGCGACAATGATGCACTGACAAGGTTGAGGTTGGGGCCGAGGATAAGATTCGCTTGTAGCCTTAAGTTCGGGCGTATGGTGGCATACAGTATGTTTCTTACTGCTACTGGATCCTTTAGGATGTATGGGCAATTTATGGAAGTTGCTGGGTTCCTCCACTTGGGCTTTTCCAGAACGCACTTGGCGTGGATTTCGGAGATGCGCCACAGCTTCGGCTACGGTTAATGGTGTCCTCAGTCTTGTCGATGTGGAGATCGTCTAGGCAAGACAGCAATGAGAGATCTCACTCCATGCACATGTTGTAGTGCTGTATCATATTTTTCAGATATTTTCCTTTCAGAACTTGGACTTGCATACCTTCGTGTTCTTTGCTGAGAACCGTGAAGCCCAGGAAGGATGGACGTTGCCTGAGGCCAGGCTGGCCCTGAAGACTTTGGGACAACCCCCCCCCCCCTTTATCCCAGCCTTGGCAGCGGCGACTCGCTGTCCACCGCCAATGCACATGGCCTTGCAGAGCTGTGATGGTGTTCGTGTCGCTCGAAGAATATCCCGACGCAGTCAAACTAAACTCAACGGATGGTTTTCCAAGGCGCCCTGACCTGAACTCCACTTCGATGCCACGTGCTGCAAGGCTAAGGCAACGGCCATGCCGCGAAGGTGAAGGCAACAATAGCCTCAGATTCTGGCGCGCACTGAAAGACTCCAAGACTCCAGACCAATCCATGGTTCGTCCTTCGATGCATCGGAGTGCTCCGGCTCGATGCCTCTTGTGATGTGAACAGACGGACGGCCTTCAAGACGGATGTCCCATGAACGTGATGTCGAGTTCGACAAGCTGTTGAATAAAACATTCACAGAAAGCACGAACGAAGCCATGGAGATCGAGAGGAAGGAACAGGGGCAGAAAGAATCAGACGTCGAGTGCCGTGGGCACTTTCTGCATCCATGCAAGGCAGCCATCAGGATAACTGCTATGTTGAAATGGGCTTCTTGTTCCAACAAGTGCTCGTTTGGATGGTTCTGCGACGCCAGGTGCGGCATGACGCTTCGACCTCCCTGGGCGCCGAGCTAGGAACTGTAAGAATGCCAAGGGCACTGCAGGGGTAGGTTGACCAGACCAGCCTATAATGGTACTTCAGTAGATCTCCCAGATCCGAATAGTCTAAGCTCCAGAAGATGTGCCATACTCTGTCCAAGGAGCACCGGTACACTGCCAGGAATGGAGCAGCAGTATCAAGGCGAGGATCAGCAGTCCTGAAAGGATTGCGGGCTCGGGATGATCAAGCGAGGCATACATACCAAAGGGTGCAAAATACCCCGTAATCAAGGAATAAACCTGAAACCAAAATAATACGGCCCCTACAATTTATGGTTTATGCCTTGGAGAAGTGGTTTTGGGCTCGCTGGGTAGTCTGGGCACCTTGACTTCTGGACCCACTTTCAGCAAAGGGCTGGCTGGCTCTGAACCATGTCAATCCTTGAAGGGCAACACGTCGCCATTGCAGGTGCATGAGGGGACTCAGCTTCAAGAGCTGCCACGCCTGCCATCAGCGGAGGGCTTCAGCTCTATCCTGTTTGCTATCGGAAGTCCCGCGATGTTGGAAGGGGTGTTAGCCGCAGATACTGTGCATTTCTCTTCCACGCTTCCAGTCTTCGACTGTGCTAGCACTTCAGTTCCGGCGCTCCCAAGTGGCTGTTTGCCTCGCATTGCTGTGGCGCTAGTTTCGTTTTTTTAATGACCTTCCCTATGAAGGCGCTTCTTCTGACTAGCTCACATGAGAAAAATCAACTGTTGCACAACGTCCTCTGTCAGTGGTGAGTTCGTGTTGGCCAACCTGGTTCCCTTCGTGCTTTGAACACTTTGCGGAGAGAACCCTGAAGAGGTTCGTGAGAATGCCAGGCGAACCCGTCCAAACAAACCTCGACATGCCATGCCACGACAGTTAGACTTGCCAAGGCCTTACAGACACTCCCGTCAAGAAGAAGAGTGCCCACCAACAAGTTCTCCAATGTGGGGGCTTTCACAATTAGCGTGGGGGCTTTGGCTTTGGAGTACATTATACTCTATATACATACATATGTATATATATATATATATTTATAAAAGAATCCCCAAAATAGTATCGGTCGTTCTTCAGGCCCCGATAGTACACTAAACCCTAAAACCTGTAAGCCCACGTTGCCTCGCGTGTGGCCAGGGCCGAGGCCAGGAAGGAGAGTGCACAGGAAGTCCCACTCACGTCACCTCTGCAAGAGGGTTCCCAGGGGCCCTGAAACTTCACAACGAAGGGCTGGCGCGAAAGGGTTCAAATCTTAGCCAGCTTCATTTCGTCTGCTCCTCTGCTTCTGTTGGGGCCTCGAGAGGTTGGGAGTGTGACCTTGGAAGAAACCAAAAGCTATCCCTAAACCCTAAACCGAACCAAAAGCTATACTCCGCGGATGAGGGCTGTAAGGCAGGCTGAGTTTTCTTTCGAGTCATTAGCATCCGACATCTCGCGCCTTCCTCGTGTCGAAGGACATGAGAGAGGTTGTAGATCTTGAGATCCTGCTCTGGAGACGAGGGAGGGATGGCTTTAAGCCCTTCATACCTGAACCACTAGCGCTGCAAGCCCCCCTATTCCTCTAGACCCCAACCACCCCAAACCTCCTAAACCCTAAACCCAAAAACCTTGAACCCCAAACCCCCTAAATCCTCCGAACCCCAAAAAGCCTTGAAGCCCCCAAAGCCAGAACACCCAGAAAAGGCCCTAAGCCAAGCTCCACAAGGATCCTCAGAGAGCTTTTGTACGGAATGGACCTCAAATCATAAGGGCCTGAATAGTATGATAAAAAAGTCTATTCCTTAATTAAGGGGTATATAGGGGCCTGAATAGTATGATTTAGACCCTAAACCCTAAACTCCTAAACCCTAACCTTAATTTAGGGGTATAGGGGCCTTCATATTAGGATTTTGAAGGTATATTCCTTAATATTATGATTAAAAAGAGTATGTTCCTTCATCAAAAGGGGGTATTGGGCAACCCTAAACCCTAAACTCCCACCAGAAGGATCCTGCAAGAGCACCGAGCATATTCCTTAACTAAGGGGTTATGATGAACAAGAATATCTTCCTTAATTGAAGGGGGTTATGATTAAAAAAGAATATATTCCTTAATTGAAGGGGGTCTTGGGCACCAGAAGGATCCTGCAAGAGCACTGCGCCGCTGTCGCGCTCGTAGGTCTGCCGGAGACCTTGCAGCGTGAGGCCTCTCCTGGGCTCTGGGTTTAAGGATTTCGGATTTTAGGGGGGGGATTTCGAGGATTTTAGGGGTTTAGGGTTTTAGGGGATTTCGGGGATTTTAGGGGACTTATGGGTTTAGGGTTTTTAGGGATTTAAGGGTTTGCGGTTTGGGGCTTCAGGGGTGGCTTTGTTATGAAGGGTGTGTCGGGGAGTCGGGGTTAGCATAATCAAGAAAGCATGTCATTGGCTCTAGCTTTACTCTGGCTGCGGAAAAATTCACTTGAAGAAGGGCCCAGGTTCTCATTGTGGTCCGCGAGTTTCAGCGCCAGCTCGAGAACAGCATCGCTGACTTTTTCTCCAGTGCGGTTTGCCAGAGCTCGCATTTCCTCCAAGGACATGGCACCATCCTGGTCGAGATCTGCAGCCTCGAAGAGGCTCACCAGTGCACGGCGCCAAGGAGGTGTGAACTCACCGACGTTGCAGTGCTTTGCTGCGGGCAGGAGCGAGCCATTCACAACGAGTACATCTCGTGCCAACGACATCCATATCATCAACAGTGCGACGAGCGTCAATGTCAGTGCTGATGTTTGGCCGCAACCGAGAGGCCCAGGCAGAGTGTATGAACAGTTGCACAGCTCACACTCGGTTGCGGCCTTGGGTGAGTAGGCCCGCCACTGCATCAGGCACTCCGGGTGGACATATGCAAGAGTGCCTTTGCAGCCGCAAGCGCGCACCAGCTTGCCGCTGGAGTCTTGGCAGATGCGGCAAAGGACCTCACTGTGAGTAAACACCGACTGACCGCATCTGCACAATCGCACACACAAACCGTAGAGACCCGTATGTTGCTAAGCAAAAACACGACCCAGTGCTTCTGAATTCTTCCACCAAGTAATGGAATTTGAAAGGTGACTATCATAGTGTTAACCACGCGGCCGCCTCTGCTTCCAGCATCTTCTCATCCTTCCTTCCCGCCTTTCTGTGGCGCAGCTCCATGGTTGGGAGCTCACTGAGCTCGGAACTAGTCGCATGGCATGGGTGTGTCCGGTGAGTGAACCCAAGGCTTCACCAGACGGATCAAAGCCAACGCTGTTGGCAAGCAGACAACGCTTCCACCTAGATTTTTTCGCTTCTGGCTAAAGACTCGGTCTCTGCAGCAGACTTCAGGAAGCTTCGTCGGTATGTGCATGTTCCTGCGCCTACGCTTGAAAAGATACCTTGCAGTGCAGCCGTGAAGAGCCCGTAGGCTTCATGTCATGGTTGCTGGGAAGATTCAAGGCACCAAGATCAACTCTTCGTCTCCAAGAAGTTGTGACCAGGACGCGGATCCAGGTCGCACAGAACTCTCGGTCCAAAGCTTACAGAGCCCCCACGAAGCTGCTCAGCCGAAGAACCCGGAAGGTCTTTGATTAGCTCAACAAGGGCCAGACTGCCGGCCGCGTTCGCAGGCCGTCAGTGCGGCGCCAAAGGTGACCACCTGATCTCTGTGCACATGACTAGCCAAACTGGGAGCGATTATTTTCCCAATGTCTAGGCAGAGCCGTAAGACATGGAACGAGCATCCGCAAACCAGAACTCAATTCGCGTGACTTTGGACTGAGCTTGTCTCCGCCACAAAACAAAAACCAGGCCGCAAAAGGTCACTCAACTCTGAACTCCCTGAGCTTTTAAACCCATCTTCAATTCTGGCTGGAGCTTTACATGACCGGTTTCCTCAATAAGTTTAAAACTTAACCTTGAGCTGGCAGGTCGTCCTTGGAGCCACGAATAAGCTCCTACCCTAAAGCCCGACATACCCTATCTATGTCGCGGCCTCGGACATGGAAGCTGCTTCAGAAAGAAAAGATGCGACATTTCCCGGGATCCCCGGCACTTCTGGCCCCAGCATCGGCCACACCTCACCGGTGAGGCAAGCGGGGGTCTTGGGATGTAGGACATGGGGCGGTTTCGGGATTCAGGGATGTAGGACATTGGATGGTTTTGGGGGTCCATGGTCGGGCCGGGATCCTCGAAGTCATAGGCTTCAAGGCCTTGCAGACTGTGCACTCCTGCGGCTCATTCTAGAAACTTCGATCTAAACCCTAAACCCTATGAAGCCGCTGCTTACCCACTGCCAGGGGAGAGAAGGCACAACAGCCCAAGCTTTCCACGGGGCCGCCGCCGAATCTGAGAAGTGCTTCCTCCCAGCGCTTGGCCTCCAGCCGGTGTGGTTTCAGAGGTTTAGGACTCTAAACCCAAAAACCCTAGGGCCTGGGATCCTAAACGGTGAAGGAGTCTTAGTTGCAGCTGAAGCTTCGATGGCATACCCTGAAGCAGGACTCTGTGGAGCCCTTCGCAGACTCACGAACCCCTCCCCCATCAACAGAAGACCCATGTTCTGCAGCCGCACCTTGTTCAACGTGGCGATGCCGGCGCTCTCGCTGAACGCATCGAGGGCCACCGAAAGGCCAATCATCTGGGAGAGCCTGGGAGCAGAAAGGTTTGGAGAGCTTTGTGTCTTCCTCTTCATGTTTTGCATGTCTCACTTGTCTTGCAGCTGTTGCTGCGGTATGTGTCAGCGCCAGCATGCAACTAACCGTCCCTGGCGGAAGTTGCGAAGATGGAGCAACCACATCGGGTAGAGCTCTGAGCTGCGGGCACGGAAAGCGCCTCGCTCCAGCTGGAGCACTTCTCGCAGGCCTGACTGCGCACTCCAGCCCCAAGCGCGGCCCCAGAAGACTGCACAGTGGATGGAGCTCACGTCGCGAAGCCAGCATGGACACCCAAACCGCGAAAAAGCCTAAGCCCAAACCCAAAACAGCGTTTCCACAGGCAGCACCAATGGCTAACGCTACTTCGTATCGAGCTTCCAAGTGGGATTGTCCGAGAGACCACATGCATCAACCCTAACCACTTGAAGGAACTGTTTTAGAAGCCTTGCAGCAAGCTTTTACAATGACCCTACCCGATACCCAAGACCCCGCATCTCGAAGGCCACAAACTCAGCGGCTGGCGCTGAGCAGGGAGTTGTAGGAGGTGGCCGAAGCTTCGCAGCTTGAGCTCTGCAACGCCTGGCCAGGGGCTCCCTAAACCTCAAACCCTGTAGGGGCTGGTTCGGGATTTGTATGGCCTTTGGGAGACCCTAAGCCTAATGAGCCCCTAAGCCCTAAACAGGGGGTTTCGGGCCTGGGGGGTTTCAGATGTTCAGGGTTTTCTGGGTCGAGGGTCGTAGGGGTTGATTTGGGAACGAGTGTTTGAAGTTCAGCTGTTTAGGGGTTAGGGTATCAGAATATCCGGGTCTTTCCCCTAAAACCCTCAATCCTAAACCGTCAGTTTGAGGCTGCAGTGATGGAAGAGGCTCTACTCTTCTTGCTGAAAGTTTTCGGAGGGGTGCGAGACATGCTCATACTTTCCCGAAGCCCTAAAACCCTAAACCATAAACCCTAAAGCCCTAAACCCCGAAAGTACCCTTATAGAGCCCCTCAACCCTAAGCCCCTAAGCCCTTGTTGCTTCTAACCGGCGGCGGGGGGGGTGTCTCATAAACAGCGAGCCCAGGGGCCCAAGATCCCCCTTCTTCAGGATCCAGAGGGGGAATCTAGGGGCCTCAGATAATTAAGATAAAGTTTTTTTTTGGGGGTTCCTTATTATAATTACAATATAGTATACCCCAAAACCCTATTCCAATCATTAAGGCCCCTACATGAGTTCTCTAAATTCGCCTCGTCCCCGGCCCGAAGATCATCCTCGTCCCCCCCCTCTCCACCTGCTCAAAGCTTGATTCTCCATTCCCCTTCCAAAATATGGGACGTTGTAGTGAGAAGTGTAATACGATCTTTACAGGAACGTCTGTAGGATAATGCAGGGAATGTAGCATGAAAACAAATACTGACATTAAGCACACGTTCCTGTGTGACAGACCTACCTTTTGAAGGAACGATTATACAGAAACCATAATAAGGAATCCTAGAAAGGTAGGTCCTTTTCGGCTACAGGTAAACCCTAAATCATACCGTTGATGATACAAACCCTGCATTACGTTAAGGACCCTAAACTACCGGAATTATGGTATATGTCTTACTATGGGTAATGCAGGATTTATATCATCAACTCTAAAACCCTAAGCCCTCTAAAACCCTAAAACCCTAAAGCCCTAAAACCCCTAAAACCCCAAAACTCCAAAACCCTAAAACCCTAAACCCTAAACCCCTAAAACTCCTAAAACTCCTAAAACCCTAAAACCCTAAAGCCCCTAAAACCCTTAATCCGTAAATCCTTTGGTGTTTTCGTTCACTCCGCGGAGTCGTCCCAAAGCCTCCAAGGTCGCCTTTGCAGCTTTCCAGGAGCTCTCCTGGGCGCTGAGGACCTCGCTGGAGCAACCGGGCAGTTTAGGGTTTTAGAGGTTTGGGGATTTCGGGTTCGGGGTTTAGGGTTAGGGTTTAGGGTATGGGGTTTAAGGTTCAGGGTTTAGGGTTCAGGGTTTAGGGTTTAGGGTCCCTTTCCTTAAATGCGCCCTTGTCCCGAAGTTAGTGCACGATCTGCCAAGGCTAAGGGTTCAGGAGTTGGGGTGGGTAGAGGCTTGCGGGGTTTCTTTTTTGAGGTTTCCACAGCTCGCAAAAGGATGAAACTAGCAAGGGGAGAAGGGACCACCATTCCCGGAAGTCAACTCATGTGGGTCGCCATCGACTTATGTAGGGCCTTCGAGCAACGGAGCTTGCTGAACTATGCATCCTCTTTGTATGATCCAAGCTTCTGGGCAACTTGAATCCGGGCTGGTCCATCCCAGAATACGAGTATCTACAACCGATGCACAAGGCAGGCTACGTCCCGGACTGTGTTGTAGCTGATCTCGTCCGGGGAAACCTCAGCTCATAGAACATGCTTTGCTCTGCTGCCTATGGGGGTTTCCAAAAATAGGGGACTCTAGTATAGTACCCTAAATAGTAGGATCCTTATCATAAGGACCCCAAAATAAGGTACCCTAATTTTCGGAAAGTCCCATATCATTGAAAGTAGCAGCATGTTGATCGCTGGAGGGAATACTGCGGAGCTTCACCGGAGCTGTGATCCCGACATGACTGCGAACAGAGGAAGGGTGTGACTCGAACTTTGCTCCGGCTCTGTACCTCCTCCCTCAACCCTGAATCCTTAAACCTACACCCAAAACCCTAAACCTCCTGGTGTGGAAAACCCGACAAGGACTGCGGCATGAAAGCTCCTAGCTGGAGGGCATTCCTCTCACCGAGGTTTCCCGAGGTTTCCAATTGGAAACAAGGCTAAGTTATATGGTAGGAGCCCTAAGGAATAGTATTGGCAATCATACTCGGGCGGATCATGGGACGTAGTAAGCAAGGTTACAAGTACTTGGAGATATAAGTTATATGTAACCAAAGCTGCCATAGCTCCCTTGTTTATTACCCTAGCTACTCAGTCCCATGATAATTTGAAGTAGGAAACCCTAAATCCCAAACCCTAACCGCAGCACCCACATGTCACAAGCCGTAACGTAACCCTCAACGTGGAATCTCTGAACCCTCCCAATACCCCATCAAAAAGGAATATACCCGTAAACCATGATTCTAAGCCCCTTTTCCAGCCCTAAACCCAATATAATACCTTAAACCAACCTATTACGGCCCCTGCAATCTAAGGTCTATTCTTACTTAAGGGGGTATATTTGGCTCCCTATAGGTGAGGGTTTCCGAAAATAGGGGACCCTAATTTAGTACCCTAAATAGTAGGATCCTTATTATAAGGACCCCAAAACACCCTAAATAGTAGGATCCTTATTATAAGGATCCCAAAACAAGGTACCCCCCCCAATTTTCGGAAACTCCCAGGTCGAGTTTACCTTTCGAGGACTCAACTTAGGGTTCCTTCTAGGCTCCCTTTTGAGGGTTCCCTTGACAGGTTTTAGGGGACTTAGTATGTAGGGTTCTCCCTAGACCCTAAACACCTACACCCTAAACCCCTAAGCCCTAAACCCTAAACCCCAAACCCCTAAACCCCCAAACCCCTA